ATGAATTGGTCCTCTTACTCCCCCCCCCCCCACCAAAACACGTTCATCAATCACTATTCTTCTTACAAAGCGGCTAGGGCATGAGGAAGACGCTTGAGGCATTGCATGAGAGAAGAACTTCCTTTCTAGCTTAGGAGAGAAGCTTCTTACTCCAATCCTCATGCGACGACGAATCTTGTCAATGATATAGGGGAACACCTTAGACTTATCACACCCTAAAAAAGAGAATATATCTAGATACTAAAGTTCTTTAACTAAACCATGCAAAAAAACTGATAGCTACGCATGAGACTCTCTCACAGTCATCTAGACAAGACTTAATGATCCCCACCTTCTCCATGGTGGCATGCATAAACAATAGATTATCATTTGGGAAAAAAGGTGAGAGATTGAGGCATAAGATCACCGTGTATTAAACATCGCTGCTCTACATCGTGCAACATAAGAAAAGAGTTTGTTCACGCATGTGACAAAAAGAAACAGTCTTAGAGGATCATCTTGATATAACCCTTAGTAGACGTTATGGGAACTGTAAGAGAGCCAATCATAAAAACTCAATTCATTGGAAAACACTAGAGGAAGTTGAAACAAATTAGAAAGAGTTCAAAAATTTGGATAAATTCGCAATTGATGAGTTGGAAAAATCAGAAACAAGTTGAAAAATATTTGAATGAACTTTTCCAACTGAAAGAACAAACTCTTACTCACATTGTTTACTTTTAATCCACGTTATTCATAGCTTTTTATGTTTTGTCGGTATGCGACAATGTTCATAGTAGCATTTCGACAAAATTAAATATGCGTATGAGACGAATTAGATGATTAGTAAGAGTGATATAAAATCACTTTAGAGTCCAACGAATTATCATAGGGATTCATAGCGTTATCAATTTTCGGTGTCATAATATGACAACGAGAGTGGGTGTCCAAAGATCCAAGCCGTATTTGGAGTAACATATAAGATATAATCATAACAAATTTGACATTATGTATTTCACAGATATACACATATAATTATTATATAAATTGCACAAACAATAATTTTTTGAGTATGTATATATCTGTGGAAGAGATTGTGTCAAATTATAAAGTACTCAATTAAAATTGATTACCCTAATATTTATCCCTCTTAATTCAACTCAAAAGTGAATCCTCCATTTTCATCAATTTCCCACCCTAATGTTCCCGCCACAACAAGCTAATACATTCAGCTCTTCTACACCCTTTCCAATTGTTTCACACTTTCACCAAGTTACACTCGAAAACCCAACGAGCAGGAGCAGAGAGGTATGACACGCAAGAAATCCGCTTCCATTATTCCTTCGCCGCCTCCGATTCCCATCGGTAATCTCCGTCCACCGGAATAAAGCCGAGCACTTCGAATGCCATAATTCACCTGAAATGAGTTTCTGTTTCTATGACGGAGTAATATTTGTTGAATTTGCGCAGGAAATTGCGAGGTGCGGGTCGAAGCCAAGAACTTCGCATCCGAGCTGACTGAAAATAGCCTCCAGATCATGTTCGCGAAAGATGCCAATCTCAAAATTTCAGGCAATAAAGCGTTCTAACTCTTCTGGATTTTGTTTCTCATTTCACTTAATGTCGGGATAACTGTTAGAACTGCTTGGATTTGTTCGAAGTTTTTGATCATTTGTGTTCTTATTTGCAACAGTCATGGAGAACTGGAATTGCGAAAAGGTGCATTGTGGCCTTCAGGGTCACGAGGACGATGAAAAGGGTAAAACTTTGTTTCATATTTCCTCTAATGCTTTCTACTACTCTGTATTATTCTGTTTGCCTGGTTGTAATATTGATCACATTTGCCTTAAAGACAGCTATGGCGAGGCAAGTGGCCCACCTTATTTATGTTTTTTCCTCTTATTGTTAGGTAATTATTGTTTTGAGCTTATTAATCCAAATGACACAGATGTTAAGACCAAGAGTTTGGTTCAGGTGATCTGCATTTCGTAA